AAAAAAAACAAAACAAAAGATTTCTCAGTGGTCGGTTTTTACAAAGCTCAGGCTCATGCTTTCTCTTTTTTTCTCATCTATCTGTTAGAAGTATGGGCGTAGTCACTTGGTTCTCTCGTTAAATCTGGGTCCCAGGGGTAAGAGGCCCCCTGGTAGGAAACCTGAACCCCAGTCCTGTTCTATTAGGAAGACATCCAGCTAAGAAGGTGGTCAGTGCTCTGGATTATGAGGAAAAGGAAAGGCGTTTTCATTGCTAGAGGAGCTCATCCTCAAAGTGTTCTTTTCTTTAAGGAAGGAGGCGGGGGGTGCCATGTGGTATTTTAAGTGCTCTTTTTAATTCTCCTTATAGGATTAATCACAATGAAAGACTGGAGTTCCTGGGTGATGCTGTGGTTGAATTTCTGACCAGGTAAGTAGACTTTTTTATAATTCCCCCAAATTATTGATACATTTTATGGGTGACTTATTTACTACGTTATCTTCTGTGTATAGAGCCATAGAAGGCATTGAGACTCCAATGTATATTTTGTCTTTTCTATAGAGCTTAAAAGCCACCTGTCTGTGGCTCTTGCCCTGACACGTGTGCTCACTGATGCTGTAATGAGCGAGGTTATAATATGAGAGGCTGGTGTCCCGTCCTGTAGAGTGTGTTAGAGTTGCCTACAGCCAGAGGTCAGCTTGTCTTGGTCTAGAAGCTGCAGAGCTTCTACTCAATTAATAAAGAAAGAGATGATATTTTTAAATGTCATCACATCTTCTAGGATTTGTCTTTGATCTCTTTCTTACTCTTTCTGATCTCAAGAGAAGTACTTACAAGTAATTTTAATGACTAGATTTTAGAGTGTGTGTGTGTGTGTGTGTGTGTGTGTGTGTGTGTGTATGTGTGTGTGTGTGTGTGTGTTTTATTCCCAGAAGTAGTTTAGGATCTTTAGTCTGGAGGTAGGGGTGTGCAAGTGCCTTTTGTTTTTCCATATTCAGTCATTTCTCTTTTTTTAAAGAATATTTACTTAATTTTATTTATTATTATTATTATTTAATTTGTTATAGGGCATGTGCACTCAGCAGAGAGAGACACAGAGAGATGAGAAGTGAGAAAGCAAGCCACCAGGTCTAGGACTTGAACCACAGTAAGCCATGTGGGAGTCTAACACCTTCACCACCACATAACCTGCTGGCCCCTGTAATTGCTCTTTTATAGTGAGACAGCACATGCTCTTCTTGAGCTCTTTTTATTGTCTTCAGGTAATTTCTTTTCATGGAAGGACACAATGAGGAGAAAGGGCTACTCTCTAAGCCTTGAAGAGTCAATGTGCTTAGCTGTCCTGGTCAGCAGTGAATCTTACAGAATGGTGTGCCATGTAGAGAGATCACCTCCTCTTGTGGTCCCCACTGGTTTTCCTTGTGGCCTTCTGCCTAGTTTCTGCACTTTCCTGATCAGTCGATTAGATTCATCCCTAGTCTGAGCCAGCTACTAGTGCCACTCTCAGTTCTGTTCCTTACTCTAGCTATGCTTGTGAAGAATATGCCACCACTGTGCCTCTCCTCAGAGCTTCCCCAGATTCTCTTCAGGGGCCATCCACAACCCAGCTCAAGGAAAACCTTTTGTTTCCAGTCATAGTTTCAAAGATGTGTTTTCTCTTATTAATGTGTGACTGTTCAGGTCTTTGAGGTCCTCAGATTTCAGAGAAATCTTTTAGCAGAAATATATTTGGAAATATGAGTGAATGGTCTTGTTCAAGGTTTACTATATCAGATGAACTGTACCCTCATTTGACTTTCAAAGACTTAATCAAACCCTGTGTTCTCTTCGGCTCGTATCTATTGTTTGGATCTTGTGTGCCAGCCTTATTTCAGAGACTCAGAGCCACAACGAATGTTGCAATGCCTCTTTATGTATGTGCTTCTTTCTTTGCAGTGTCCATTTGTACTATTTGTTTCCTAGTCTGGAAGAAGGAGGATTAGCAACCTACCGGACTGCCATTGTTCAGAATCAGCACCTTGCCATGCTAGCAAAGGTATATCGAATATCTGAAGCATTTGTAGTTAAGTCTGGCATTTTATTCCTCAGCTCTTGCATAATTTTGCATGTGAATGAGTAATTCTAAAGAGTATAGTAAGGGTGTGATATTTTATAGACCAGAACGTATTTTTTGTTTGGGTTTTAAGGATTCAGCCTTATTAGTTCTGTTACCTTTGTGAGTTTCACCAGCAGCTAATGAACTCCACAATGAGGTAACTTGAAAACAAATGAGAAAAAATTTGACAGATGTACGTAAACATAGTTAAATGTTTGGGGAAAAGGAACATGGGAACAAAGCAAAAGAAATAAAGTATTTTGTATTTTCCCTTCGTGCGATATTTCTGTATTACAATTTATGTTTTTAATTTGTGTTAACAAGTAGAATTTTAGCTTTGAACAAAATATAACAGACTATTTACATCCATAGGGGTACTTTATAGGTCTTTGAGAATCCCCGTAATTATACATCCCATTAATTAAGAGTTATGATTTAGACTACCCAGCTGGCCTCATTGACTTAGCTGAGTGACTGACAGAATATTTTCTTATTCAGGTTTGTTCTAGGCATTTTACTTACGTGATCTGATTTGATGTTTCCATCTCTGTGCAGTGTCTTTTTATGGTAAATCCTGACAGATAAGATCCTGAGCATGTGTATTAACCTCTCAGGGTTCCTGGCCACTATGTACTCTTATGAACATAGTGACAATAGGTCAATTGTTCTCTTCTTCAAATCTCTACCTCCTCATCTTAAAATGGAAATGGCATAGCACCTACCACACGGGCTAGTTGTGAGAATAAAATAAGATTATCAGTATTTTTTTTTTTTTTTTTGCTATAGGGCACATGACCTCGCCAGA